TGTTGCTTCTCGCGTTCTGAAAGCGAGGAGCAGGTGTCGTGTTTCCGACACGTGACACGGGTTGAAAAATGCGCAATTGGTACACATTTTGACGTTCTTTTGCAAATTGGCAGCGGAGGACGTTTTTTTCCTCCACTGCTTTGTAAATTGGAACAAAGTCGGAGAGCGAAGTCGGAACGGTGGGAGGTCGGAATTCCAAACTTGGTGGAAGAGCAAAGTCGGAATTCCGACCTTGGTGGGAAGAATTCCGACCTTGGGTGGCGCGGGCTGCTCGCGCGCTTGCCGCTACGTTTAGATATGCGCAATGTAGCTGCGTTTCTGCAAGGCGAGCCCTCAAAAGAAACCCTTGGCTTCTGGCTGGCTTTTTGGCTTCTGGCTGGCTTCTGGCTGGCTGGCTTTTGGCTGGCTTCTGGCTGGCTTCTGGCTGGGTTTTTGGCTGGCTCTTGGCTGGCTTCTGGCTGGCTTCTGGCCTGTGTTGCCTGCCTTCGGGTCCTCCGTCTGGTTGGGCAGGCCCGGCGGCACGGTGAGGCCTTCTGACCGGCAAGCTCGGAGACGGAGGCACTCTTTGTTTAGAAGGGGTTTCCCAAATGGATTCTATTCCACCTGGTAGGCTCCTGACACTCGTCCGTCCAGGAAACGACCTCGTCCTGCGAAGAATTCAAAACCTAAAACGCTGTGCGCAGGCGTGTGGCTGCAACATAACGACCCCGAGATACGCTTGCAATTTGGCTCCAGGTTGCATTTCAAGCGAGCCAACCTTTGCAGGGCTAAGAAAAAAACAAAAAAAGGTCCCCAAAAAAGGGGTTCCGAAAAAAAGGAAAAGGGACGCGAGGTCGGAATTCCGACTTCGCTCTCCCACCGAGGTCGGAATTCCGACTTCGCTCTCCCACCGAGGTCGGAACTCCGACTTCGCTATTTTGCCCGAAAAACCCATCACTGGGCCAGCGCCGAAGGTCTGTCAGCGAAGCCGTCCTTGCCATAGCACTGACAGAGTGTTTTTTTCACCATTGCCTTCCATCAATCCTGCGCTGGGCACAGGATTGCCACCGTCAATCCTGCGTTGACAACAGGATTGCCCCCCGTCAATCCTGTGCTGGGCACAGGATTGCCTCACTCAATCCTGCGCTGGCAACAGGATTGCCCCACTCAGTCCTGCGCTGGCAACAGGATTGCGTCTCCTATGGGAGCGATGCGGTAAATCCCGTGTCGCTCCCACACTCGTCGCCCGGCTTCCCGGCTTCAAATTTGGGAAGTAACGCAAAGGAATGGGGAAGATCAAGCTGTAAGCAGCCCTCTGACCCCGTGGTGCCCCTGGTGCCATGCACGGGCATTTTCCTCGGGCCATCAAAATCGGGCAAAACCGGGCTCTGATCAGCCTGATTCTAGGAGCAGTATCGCGGCGTCTTTGAGAGAATTTACATCTTCAGCCCGAGTGTCAACATCCACGACGGCTGGATCCCCGTCAAGAAGTACATCGAGGAGGACCTGGGGGTGAACACAGAGCGGGAGCAGACCTATTGGGACGAGTGGGACCAGGCGGCGCTGCGGCGCATCATCCAGCAGCAGCGCAAGATCACGGAGGCGTCCGAAGTTGGAAATGAAGAAACTGTACCAGGTGCTTGTAGTCATCGACGACTTTGCTGACACGCCGCAGCTGCACAAGCCTCACGGCGCCCTTGACACGCTCTTCATCCGAGGCCGGCACATGCAGATCAGCACCTGGGTGAGCTCCCAGAAGCAGCGCAGCGGTGCGGGTCAATCAGCAATTCCTCTGCTGCTGGAGGCTGCGCAACCAGCACGAGCTGGACGCCGTCATTGAGGAGCTCAGCGCCCTGCTGTTGAAGGAGCAGCTGTACCACCTGTACGAACAGGCGACGCGGGAACCTTACAGTTTCCTCTTCGTCTACTACCTGAAGCCGAGGAATGAAATGTTCTACAAGCGCTTCGAAGAGCGCTTCCCTGTCAACTTGCGTAATTCAGGGGTTCTGACAGCAATTAAGGGGGCACCCCGGTAATTAAGGATTTTCAAGCGGAACAACTTCTCAAAATGCCCAAATCCCATTCCAGGCTACAGCAGCTGCAATCTTTTTTCCGCTCCCCATCTCAGCTTGTGAAAGCGGGCTGCTTTCAGCCGTCAAAGGCCCCAATGCGCATTTGGGCCGTCACGTTCGGAAGAACTCTGTCAGGGTGCTAGCTTTGCCACCCTTCTCATCTGCACCCTTGCCTGCACGGGCGCAAACAAACCGATTGTTGCTGATTTGCACGGATTCAACAACAAAAAGGAGGTGGTTTGACGTGATGGAGCCCTTTGAAAACAACAGCAACATTTGATTGATTTTACCAGCGCCCCCGACAAAAACTTAGAGGGGTGGACTAAGGGGTTCTGATTGAAATTGACCGAAAAAACAACAACAGCTTTGTGAAAATCACATGTAAAAGTCACACCGGCCAAGATCCTTCTTTTTGAGCGAGACTTCTAAGAATAAATCCTACCAACATAAAGCAAGTGCGCCTCGCGCGCGCTTGGCCGTCGGCTCCGCTTTGGCTTTTGGCCCCGTTTTGGCCTTCGGCTCCGCTTTGGCCTTCCCCTTTGCTTTGGCCTTTGCAGATGCCGCCGCCGGCAGGTCGTCCTTCGCCTTGTCTTTGCGCTTCTTCTCTTTGGTCTCCTTGCGCTCCTTCTGTTTGTCCTTCTTCTCCTTCGTCTCCTTCTTGTCCGACTTGTGCTTCTCCTTCTTCTCCTTTTTGTCCTGCTACGTGATGAGCCAAGTGGCAGGGTAGTGACACAGTGACACAGCGGCCCAAACAAACAGTCCTTCTTTTTCTTCTCCACCGCCGGCGCCGGCGCCTCCTCATCAGTGTCCGAGTCCATGATCTGCGCCTCATCCTAGCGCGGAACTCCAATAGCGACAGGGGGAAACGCATCATGTGAACCACTCTGAGTTTGATGCGAGCGCAACGCAGAACATGTGAGCCAGTCACGGCGCTCCATTTGGTTACAAACTACAGGGTCAAGTTCCAAGTGTCAGGGTTGCCGTTGCCTGCTAGGCACTGCTAGGGAAAAAAAGGTGATAATAGGGTTTAATAGGGGCTCCTGATCCTGCATCGAGGTAGCACTGTAATTCCCACTTCGTCGCAGAGCCGTGGCCTCGACGTCCGCAAGCGCTGCCTGCTCTGCGCTACGCGCAGCAGCCGCCAAGGAAGAAGAAGCTGCAGCTCCCCCATCCTTGCCTTCTGCATCCTGCCGGAACCCAGCGCGCCAGTGCTCAGCAAGGATACCCGAGAACCGAGCTATGCGATACTAGCGTTACGCGTCATTTAGAAGACACTCCGATCCGCAGTGCACCGCGGGCGTCATGAGCCGTGCATGTCCGCAATTCGATCAGACTACGAGCCAAAAACGATACGACCCCAAAGCGTTTGTTGGCGCATTGTATCCCTTGACAGGCACGTTCAGCAACGAATTTAGGACAGGGCGCTGGAAGCCGCATTGTGAAGAGGAAGTTACATGCGAGCGCCCGGCGCGCCGGGCCCCGGGTGCCCGGCGCGCCGGGCCCCGAACCCGCTCGGCGCCCGGCCACACCACAACTGCACGCATCAGGCATCTGGGAGCTGGGGGGAAGGCAGCTAGCCGGTCTGACATGCGTCAGTCCTGGCACGCCTGGGCGGGGCCCGGGGCCCGGAGCCCAGCACGCGGGACGCCGGGCCCGGCGCGCCGCAGGGGAGACCGGCCAGCTTCCTTCCCACCAGGTCCCAGATGCCTGTGCAGTCGTGGTGCGCGCCGGCCCCCACCCCCCGGCGCGGCGCCCGGCGCGCCGGGCCCGGGCGCCCGGCGCCGGAGCGCCGGGCCCCGGGCGCCCGGCGGCGCCGGGTCCCGGGACGTCATCTTCCCGTAGTCTTCCGTCATCTTCCCGTAGTCTTCCGTCATCTTCCGCAGTCTTCTGTCAGCTTCCCGTCATCTTCCCGTAGTCATCTCCGTCATCTTCCCTTCCCGTTCTTCCGTCTCGTAGTCGTCCCCCAAGCGGCTCGCGCTCCGGCGCGCGCGCCCGGCGCGCGGGCCGCGGGCGCCGGCGGCACCCGGCGCGGCGCGCCGGGCCCCGGGCGCCCGGCGCGCCGGGCCCGGGACGCTTCCGTCATCTTCCCGTAGTCTTCCGTCATCTTCCCGTAGTCTTCCGTCATCTTCCCGTAGTCTTCCGTCATCTTCCGCAGTCTTCTGTCAGCTTCCCGTCATCTTCCCGTAGTCTTCCGTCATCTTCCCGTAGTCGTCCCAAGCGGCGCGCGCTCCGGAGCGCGCGCCCGGCGCGCCGGGTCCCGGGATGTCATCTTCCCGTAGTCTTCCGTCATCTTCCCGTAGTCTTCCGTCATCTTCCCGTAGTCTTCCGTCATCTTCCGCAGTCTTCTGTCAGCTTCCCGTCATCTTCCCGTAGTCTTCCGTCATCTTCCCGTCATCTTCCCGTAGTCTTCCGTCATCTTCCCGTAGTCGTCCCAAGCGGCGCGCGCTCCGGAGCGCGCGCCCGGCGCGCCGGGGCCCGGCGCACCGGGCCAGGGCCCGCCCGCCACGGAAACCCAGCAAGATTGGAACTGGAAGCGCCTGACAGAGCCTGTGATGCGGGACAAAAAGTCGTGTGGCAAGCAGCGGGTAAGAGTTGTCAAACTTGGCAAACGTGAGTGGCAGCAGCAGCTCTCAAAAGCTTTTGTGTTGCAACTTACAATTAAATGCTGGAAAGTCTGAAGAGTCTACGTACATTCACCTCCCTCCTTTGTGCCTGAAATGGCCCAATGTCAGCGTCGCCAAGCAACCCCACTCCTGTGTAGGGCTGGGAACAGCCTTGGGCCCCTCAGGAGCCTCGAGATCTTGCCTTTCTCCGCCTTCACATTCAGATTCCTGCGCCAGGTCTTCACACACACACAGTCACCTTTTGTCAACCCGATCAATCAACCTAAAGGCCCAAGAGTCTTGAGGCAACAAGCTCGGCCTGGTTGATCTCCCCGAGAGAAGCATCCATCACGTGGGCCAAGGCAACGGACAGCGGACTGTCCGGCGCCGTCTGAACATCCTCCAGGCCAGAAAGGGGCGCAACCGCTGGCGCTGCGGACGTGCTCGAAGAAGGCTTGGCCAGCTCAGCCTTTCTCCCGAAAGACTTGGGAACAATATCGAGACCAATGTAAACCAATAAATCGGCATTGGACAAGTAACAGCTGTCCAGGCGGTCCAAAGTCAAACATTGAATCATATTGCTGGTCCAAACAAGGCTCGGCAGCAGCATCTGCCTGGTCCGAGGGAAGCACAGGCGCAGAAGGCGGCTCACCCTTAGACACAGAAAGAAAAACGTGGAAATAGAAGGCCAACCTTTTCAAGCCATGTTGGCGAAGTAAGAAAACACATCGAACGCTCAATTCCAATTGACTGAAGGAACCGCTGGCTTTAGACAAGCTGCAGCGACTTCTGGCTTCTCGGACGGCTCGACTGACTTCTCCAAAGCCGGCTCACCCTTACGTGCGCGAAGGACACGAAAATAGAACCCGGCCAACTTGTCAATTGTCAAGCAACAAAAAAAGCGTTGGCGAGGTAGCTGTCAATCGAACAGTCCAACAGTCCATCGCTCTGTATTGAAATGCTGGCTTTGGATGAGCTGCAGCGGCTTCTGGCTTCTCCGACGGCTCAACTGGCTTCTCCGAAGGCGGCTCGCCCTTACGTGCCAAGGACATGGTGTAATTAACCAGTGCAGCGTAGTGTGACCGTGACCTATTGGATAAACGTCAATCGTCAATATCGTCAACACTCAGACCTCGAATGTCAATCTGTCAGTTGCGTGGACGAGCCGCAGAGGCTGCCGAAGGCTCAACCGGTTCACCCGCAGGCGCTGCTGCCTGGCCAGAAACAGGCTCAGCCGGAGGGCCCGCTGCAGCATTGTCCACCACAGGCGCAGCCTGACTTGCACAAAGGACCTGAACATATGGAGCTCTGGTGAGAAGTGGTCCGAATCCAAGGTAGGAAAACCAGAGACACTCAAGCAAATTTGGACTCCGGACGAGGCGCAGCGGCTGCCGTCTTGTCCGAGGGCTCGGTCTCCGAAGCAGGCATTGCTGCCTGGCCAGAAACAGGCCCAGCCGGAGCTCCCGCAGCATTGTCCTCCACAATCGCAGCCTGACTCAAAGAAGGAAACAGATATATGGAGCTTTGGGGCCCTTTCAACCTGTGGGGCCCTTTGGGGGTAGGAAAACCCATCTGAGTGTCTGTCTGAGTCTGTCTCTCTCTCAAACAAATTGAAGAATGGCTTTGGAATCCGGACAAGCCGCAGCGGCTGCCGGCTTGGTCTCCGAAGTAGGCGTCGCTGCCTGGCCAGAAACAGGCTCAGCCGGAGCTCCTGCATTGTCCACCACAGGCGCCGGCGCAGCCTGACTTGAAAAATGAAATGAAAACATGGAGCCAGCAGCCATCCAAGGAAGGAAAACCAAACTGAGTGTCTGTCTGAGTCTGTCTGTCTCTCAAACAAATTGAAGAATGGCTTTGGACTCCGGACAAGCCGCAGCGGCTGCCGTCTTGTCCGAGCGCTCGGTCTCCGAAACAGGCATCGCAAAAGGCTCAGCCGGAGCTCCTGCAGCATTGTCCACCACAGGCGCTGGCGCAGCCTGACTTGAAAAGGGAGCTTTGGGGAATCCGAGGTAGTAGAACGAAACTGAGTGTACGTCTGTCTCTCAAACAAATTGAACCGGACAAGCCGCAGCGGTCGCCGTCTTGTCCGAGAGCTCGGTCTCCGAAGCAGGCGCTGCTGGCTTGTCCGACGAAGGCCCAGCCGCAGGCTTGTCCGAAGAAGCATCAGCCTCAACAACAACCAAAGGGGCGGGGTGGGGGCCGGGTGAGGGCGGGGGGGGAAAGAAGCAACATGAAGCAACCGTGTCAGAAGGCGGCTCACCCATCTGGCCCCTGCATGACTGGCGCGCCAAGAAAGAAGAAGGTATGGTATAACCCCTTGCAAGCCATGAACAAACGTGGGTGGGACCGAATCGAACTTGTTGAACTGTTCAAAATTGGATTTAATCTGACTCAATCAAGGCCCGAGGCACCGCTGACTGTTCTGGAGCTGCTGCTGACGTGCCCGAAGCGGGCTCGGCCTTCACCTGGAAATGCAAAAACAATCGACCTTTTGGACTTTCGGAGTCATCAGTCACCAGAGTCCGGAGTCAGTTCCAAAAGTGGACCAATAAGCGTAACCATTTTGGACAATGAACAATGAGCAATGAGCAATGAGCACTTGTCCTTGGCTGAAGGAGGCTTCGCGGCTGCTGACGTGATGTCCTCCGGCTGCGCTGCTTTGCCACGCTCTGAAGACTGCAGCGCCATCTGGTCATCGAACTGCTGCTGGAGCAGCGAAGTCAGAGTGTTCCTCACATCCATAGCTGCCATAGCTGTCGAACAAATGGCAATGACACCGACACCGACACGCCGACTCGACGCCGACAACCCAACATCCAAAATACACAAGAAAGCTCACTCATGTTTGCAGCTGATGGTCACGCCGAGCGCCGACTCCACTGATCGAAGCGACCGATCGTCGTGGAGGTACGGCATGAACACCCTTGCCGCAATGTTGTGTTCATTGCATGGCCGGTCCACGAGAACTATTCCCGCTTGGAGGATCATGGCGTCACCCGGACTCAGTGTTCCGGTCTCTATGTCCATGCCAGCCGCGTCCGCCCTCTCCGGCGTGAGGTCGGCCAGGCTTTGCACAGCCTCCTGCAACAGAACAAGGCCGGGTGTTGCAGGCTGCCGGGCCGGCATCAATTAGACCAATTAGACCAGTCCTTGAAGCTGGCGTCACCAGGCGCCAGCTTGGCCACGTCGTGGATCGTGGTGGCCAGGAAGCGCTTTGCCCCGACCGCCTGGCCGCAATCAAACAAAAGCTGTGCTTTGTGACAAGAGGCAGGCAATAGGCAAAGTCAGACACCTGCCTGAAACAGAATGATGGGCATGCCTCCTGGCGCCATCCCCGTATTCACTTTGTTCACCTTCTCGCCGACCATGTAAACCTCTGTGAGCTTGGAGATCGCAGCCTGGCACGAGTTGACCCAACTACACACGCCATGATGCAGGGCACGCGCTAGGCCTTCTCCTCTTCGCTGCTCTTTTCTTGCAGAGCACGGAGGCCGTCCACATCCACCACCACGCCAGGAGCTGGCAATCGGTCACGCCCGCTAGCCTGGGCACATGGACCCTGACAAGTGCGCGAGAACCGCCTATCAAGCAAAAGCCAAGGAGCTTCGGCGTGCTTGTCCCAGAGTTCGCCTTGCAGATGCGCCATCTTATCCCCAAAGTTCAGCGGTCCCACGTACGGGCCCATGTCATCCATGAGCATTGTCTGCCGCGCGGAACTGTTGTCGTCCTTCCAGGTGGCAGGGGCAATTTGCAGTTGCGAATGGGAATCAAGAGGACTGCAAACTGACCTGCCTGGAAATGCTGAGCAACCATGTTGACGAAGTTCTTCAGCTGGGAGATCATGACCTGGTTGACAGTGGCGATCTCCTTCTTCGTCACGGAATCGATGCTGCCAAACTCAGCTAAGAGGGGGCTTGGAGGACGGCAATGCAGCTGTGGGTAAGTCGGTCAACCTCAACACTCTCAACTGCCATGTTTACCCCGCCATGAAGCCTCCAAAGCCTTCTTGATATTCGCCCTGCGGCATCGGATGATAACGTTGGCACCATCGAGCACATGAGGCAGAGCTTGCTCCTGAGATTGGTGGCGCGATCCCCCACTGACAAGCAAAGGCCTAGCGACAGGCGACAGGTCACTGCTCACTCACTTGCCCGAAAGAAACCTACGGTGTCGAATGATTGACAAAAAGGCGTATCTTCTGGAACCTCTGCTGAGCTACTGGGCCACACCAAACTTGGATACTAACTGCCTCATCACTGAATCAAGATCAAAATCTGACAATTGCTACGCAAGGCGCAAAGGTTTCCACCACCGTCATGACCCCTTGGAACTTTTCAGAGAGAGCTGGGGGGTCGGCGTCTGTGGGACAGGCCCCCGCAGTTGCCCGGCGCTTCTTGTCCGACGAGGCTGCGTTGGCGGATGCGGCGGCCTGGCTGGCCTTGGCAGCAGCCAAGCGCTCCTCCTTGGCGCGTTCCCTGGCTTCAAGCTTTTCGCGGCGCATGCGCTCTCTTTCCTGCGCAAGCTGCTCCAGCTTCTTGGCCTTCTCAAGGGCGGCAGAAGCCGAGCGGTACTGGCGAACTGCAGCCATCAAAGCAGATGCCACCTGGCCCTGCCGAACCATTGCCTGCTCGGCCTGGGCGAAGGACTCCTCCACGAGCTCCACCGAACCTAAAAGATCGGTGCTGCCCCTCAGACTCCGCACTCGCGGGAAGCAAAGGACACCTTCAACTCCCGACTCCTTCAAAAAGTCGTCCTTCTGCACCAATTCGGCCATGCTCGCCTCGACGCCCTTCATCTGGTTGCCGTCCGTGTGGCTGACGCCATTGCCCAAGCAAAGCGCGGCCTCCGCTCAGGGGGCCCCCGCAGGCGGAAAGCAAATTGTGATTGCGATCAGGGCACATGAGTTTGCCTGCAACAGCGAAGCACACAGGAATAGTTTGCTTGCGGCACAATGCCGACCAGTCGCCAACTTCAACCGGGAAAGGACAAGCTGGTGCAGCGGGTCCGCCAGTCTGAAGTCCGGGTCATCCGGGTCGTCCTCCTGCACAAGAGCGGCAAGCAACATCCCGGGCCCAGACCAGACTAGGCCAGGCCTTCAAGTTCAGGTCTTCTCCAACCCTGATCGCATCAAGGAGAGCCTTCTCTGTGGAGCAGTACTGCTTGAGGCTTGAGGCCCGCAAGGCAGCACTGGCCGCCACAACGCCTGAGAATCAAATCAGCCCAACAAATGACAGCTCACACAGTGATCCGAGCAGCAATCTGAGGTCTGCGCATGTGTGCTTCTTCGTCTTGCCGCCTCTGCCTCCTCCTCCCGCAGAGGATGACCCAGTGGACACCCGGCCGCCGCTGCGGTTCGAGCTGCTGCTACCACCATGCCCGCTTGGGCCACCACTGCCTCCGCCTCCACTGCAAATTCAAATGGATCGAAATGATCGAAGGTGCACAGGCTGCAAAAATCAAAAGGTAAAAAGCAACCGGCCGGCGGCCGGCCGGCTGGCTTTGGGAAACTGAGCTGCCAGTGTCGGGCGTGGGAAGGTCAAAGGACACCTCGAAGCTGATGCCTTGGATGTGATCCAACACACTTTGAAAGAGTGAGTGAGGGCGCTGCTTGGATCTATCAAGATTCTCTTGGTCAGCAAAGAATGAGTCATCACTAATCTTAAAGTGTTCGGCGGCCGGCGTGAGCCTAAACCAACATGCCAAGCCACTGTCGTCCCCCTGCAGCATCCCCTTTGCCAGTGACTCAGCGGCGCGCTGGATCTTGGCCACGCCGGCCGTCTCCTTGCTCTTCACCGCGCTGCCGCTCGCCTGCACGGTCGTGGCGTCGTCCTGGCGGCAATCAACATGACAACGTGGGTTCGTGGGTAAAAGTCTGAACTTTTAATCGTGCAATGGAGTCCATGGAGTTCATGGCCATGATGCCTGGCCATGGTCCACAAAAATGGAAAATGGTAAAACTGTCACTGTCTCAGACTGTCTTCAAGGCTTTCCCAAAAAGACTTAAATCCAGTAACCAGCGCCGGTCCCTGTAGCGGGAGAGCTTGATCTCCATGGGCATGGCGACGTAGATGGCTGTCACCTCACATGAGGGGCGTTACTGCGACCCGACTGCGGCACTTGCTGACCATTCGCCGCCAAGGCGCCAATTCTCCCGTATGGCGTCCGTCCTCGCCCAGCTTTCTGCGTTTGACTTTGCCCACGGAGCGGTCTTGCAAGTCTGCCTTCCACTTCCGGTCCGCGGCGATGGAGCTCAGGCCTGTGTGCAAGAGAAGGAAAACGCAAACATGATGCTTTCTGCCAATGCCGACAGCCGACACCACCGCTACCACAGCCACAGACCATCTCCAACTTGGTCTGTACACCGCCAGTCCACAAAAACCACGCAATCCCATCGCCATCGACCCAGACTAACAAGCCAAGATGCGCTC